ATCCGGGCCCTGCCGGCGGGCGAGCGGCCCTGCGCCTCCTCCAGGCGACCCCGCAGGTGCTTCTCAATTTCCACGGCTGCCCTCATGACAACGGCTGGACGTCTTTTCCCGTGATTGATGGCGATTTGCATCTATGCTCCGTGTTTGTAGCTCCAGCTCATTATTCTCATTGGATTTGGTCTCTTTCTTTGCGTCATTATTTCAGAAAGCTGCCTCCGTGTTAAGGAGAATCGGCCTCTCTGTGCTGAGCCGTGTGCGTTTCCCCGGCTCGCGATGCTTCATTTTTCTCTGCTTGCTGCGTTTCTGTCTTTCGCATAATCGAGGTGATTCCCCCGCGTTATAACCGGACTCATTTCTCCCAGGGCTGGTCAATCTGTTTTTTCATTCTTCAGTTTCGGGATTTCTCCTCATAGAAGAGCGTGAGAAACGGATGCGCCTTTGCCTTGTGTGGCTCTCCGGTTACTCAACGAGACTCAGAAAATGCGCGTTGCTCCCACCATCAAAGGCACTTGTCTTTGTCGCAGGCTAAACTTTCATGTGTAATTGTGTCTATTTCTGGGTTTGCTGTTCTCGTTCGTTAGCCCGACTCCTCGTGCACTGACACCCTCCTCTATAATTATAGAGAACGCACGGTGTGTTTTAATATTTGACAGGTTAGCCCTCCGCCCACTACGTTTTATTTTAGGGTTTTCTTGGCTGGTTTTGCTTTTTTCTCCCTGATAAACTTTGTAATCAACTTGCCTACCTCTAGAAACAAATATAGAAGCAATTTTATGAGACCTTAAAAAAAGCTGACATTGACGTGTCTGTCCTAAATATTATCTTTCCCCTTTTTTGAGTTTATTTCTAGGGGATGGTTTTATAGCTTCCTCCACAGATGTCATGTAAATTCATTGATTCTGTCTAGCTTGCAGCGAGCGGTCACTGGAGGGTCGGGGTCACTGGAGCGGTGAGACAGTTCTTGCTTCGATTGGAGAAGTGGCTTCTCTGACACATGACTTTGGCGTTTGTCACACGGACTTTCCTTTGAATCTCCAGTTCGTCGTCCACAAGCTGTGCCACTTGGGGCGCGTTGCTTAGCCTCTCGGTGCCTGAACGCCCTCCTCCGTGAGTGGAGACGACCATCCCCAGTCCATTCACAGCCTCGTCTTTTCCCGCCGAGTAATGAACAGGATCCAACTCGCCTCCGTCCTTGTCATGGGTGCGCCCGGGTCCTAAGCCTCTTAAAGTCCTATTTTCAAAGTAGACAGCGTCAGGGAAGTGGCCAGTCAGGAGATCGGGACTCTCCTCCACGGCACAAAATTATTCTCCCTCCTCGCCGAAAGCGAAAAACAATAGATGACATTTTATGTCGGCATTTGATATTCTATTATTTTGAACCTTATTTCTGGAGAAAGTACATGTATTTACATAATTGGATTCTGATCCGAAAGAAATGGACCCCGCTAAACTTTTGAGGCTGACTCGCCACGAAGAAACACCTCTCTTTTCCCAGTATTTCACGGAACGGCTTCGCCAAAATACGGCCGAGAAAAATACGACAACGCCCGTCCCCTGGCATTTTTTTTTCTTTCGCCGGGTCCCAGATGTCATTCTTACATTCTTCCACGTGGGGAAGGAAAAGTGAAAACTAATTCTAGGTTTTTATTTAGAATACTATTCAAATATTCTCACTAAACATAACTACGTGGAACACTGTTCATGTTTTCATTCAGCAAATATTTACCGAGAGCCACTGCGCACGTCTATTCGCGCTGCGTGCGGGACGTGGGGGGTTCCCCAAGCCTGGCGAACCCCTGGCTGGAGTCCAAACGCTCACGTTTCCGGGATTAGGACAGAGCTGATTCCCAGCCGTAAGGCCGGGTCGCTCGTCTGTCTATCATTTTCGATCGCGCAGTTCTTGAGCCTTTCCTTCTGTCCGTGCTGTCTACACAGCAGCTCCGAGCCGGATTCAGGATCAGCCATGGGAAGGACGTCGCTTCTGCGGGGTGCTCAGGGCAAACCCCGAGGCGAGCAGCGAGGGAATGCTGCGGAGGGCGACATGGAAGGGCCTCCGGAGGAGGGGACACGGGGTTGGGGTGCAGAACGGGGCGCCGCAGGCTCCCGCATACGGGAGCAGCCCCCGCAAAGGCTGCGACACACCAGGGGCCGGCCAGAAGCCACTCGTGCGCCCAGCCCGGTGTGCCCTGTGGGCGTCAAAAAATAACTCTCCTCCCGCCTTCTAAGTCCTCTGGCTGGGCTAACGACCCAGTTGACACGAGACGGATTAACGGGAAATGTCCAAACCCATCGCCGACATGCGTGCGGGGGCCACAAGTGCACAAGACCCGGGACGCGTGGGCAGCTGAGGCTCACGTGCCATCCGAGAGCAAGGGGCGCAGGGTCCGGGGTCTCCAAGGCGAAGCGGCCAGGCCACAGGCGGGCGGGAAAGGGCCAACACGCGATCAGTGAATTCTCTCTGGGCCACCGGAAACAGCGGGGCACAGCGGGGAGGCCACGGAGGCTCCGCTGTCCCTCCCCATCCCCACCCTCAGTTGTGCTGTGACACCAGGTGATGCTTCTTCTGCGAAGCAGGTTTTCCAGCCCAATCCTTTAGGCAAGTGAGGGGAGGGTCCGAGGCTCTTTATGAGTCTTTTAAAATCAATGTCCCAAAAGGTATATTTGGGGGGACGAACTTTGTTCCCCCTCAGTTCCCTGAAAGTTGGGGAGACAGAGGGCCCCGGGTCTGTCCTTCGGCCCGCGGGGTCACAGCCCTCAG